TGTCACCGCCGACAAACACTGGAAATAAAAAGCACGTCTGAACACAAACAAGGGCTTTACGTTGTGTTATGTGAGTCTGTTGAATCATTCTCAGAGCAGATATTGGACTGAAGGGAGAACACAACCTCTTCTCCCCGCTTTAACTGCTTTTACTGTTAATGGTTATTTTTTATCTCAGTAACATTTTCAGACACTTCTAGCCTCTGTTACAATATGATTATGATATATATCTTAAGAAAGACGCGGTGCAAAGAGGGAAAGTAGGTCCACAGAAACATCGGCACCTCGAGGGCTTCAGGGAGAGTTCTTCCTGTCGGGACTGAATTGAAGGTCGGATGACGTGTTGTGGATATTTTCTGCAGCGTAAAGCGGAGTTTTACTGCTCTACGCTGTGGAGCCAGGAAACAGATGTGACCCCTCCCACCTGTCAGAAAGACCCCCCCCGCCCTTCCCCTCACACACACACACACACACACACACACAAACGTAGAAACAAAGCGTTCGGCATGCAGAGGAAGAGCCGTTGCCGTTTTGTTCCAGCAGCAGCAGCAGCAGCTTCCGTTGGCTGTCAGATGATCCGTTATTCATCAGACTGACTTTAACTTCTCACACACCAAACGGTTGATTTTCAGAGTTAACACAAGTCGGGCGTAGACGTGAATAGAGTTGTTATCAATATTCACACATTTTCTGTCTGAAGCCAAAGGGATCCTGATGAAGAGGTAGCAGGATGGTGTTAGACTGACGGACTCCTGCCACATACTCTGTTCTCGAGCTGTTTCCTGATTCACACTCGTGCTGCTCTTTTTTTTTTTTGTGCCTCTGACACGTTTGAAAGTTGACCTGAAACACGATTCTGTCAGGTGTCATGTTCGGTTAAGGAGTATGTATATATGTAACTTGTACAGTGCAGTCAGTCGACAGGTAGATTGACAACTTGGCTGCAGGTGTTTTGATTGGCTGTGAGCGTCCCGACGCCTCAAACATCTGTGCCGCCTGAGGCGAGCCAGCGTGTTCGCTCAGTCAGCTGACAGAACTGATAAGAGTTGCTGTTCTGATCTGTGGAGACGAGAGAACCAAAATGTAACCTGCTGAAGTTATTTTAAAAGTTTAGATGCTGCAAATTAGTTTTTTTGGCAACTTGAAATGTTCCAGTGGCATTTCATTTCCTTCGGTCCTGACTTTTAAAATCATAATTACCATGGTAACTGCGGAGTCGTCTCAGTTTTTATTTATCGCTCGTCATTACTGGTTTTAATCATCTCTCCTGTAAACTGGCCCACAGGTCGCCTCTGGGTTTTGGTTTGGCTCGAGGTAGACGCTGTGTGGACTATTTTCTTCAGGCAGATCATCGCCATGGTGACTGGTTTAAAGGAATGTGTGTGTGTTGTTGGTCAGGGTGGTCGGGTCATGTTGGGGTCATGAGAAATGTTTAATTCCTGTGTTTGATGGGAAGTTTTTTGTTTCAGGCTTTCTTTACCAAATTATTATTTTTTATTATTATTTTTTTGCCAGAGTGCGTAAACCCCCAGACTACTTGTTCCATCTGTAAACTTCTGTATACAAGTATTAAAAAGTGTTGTTGATCAATTCGGGTCCAAATCTCGACAGTTGAGTACAAAGACTTCACATTTTGCATATTGTGTGAGAAATATGCAAAGTGACTGCCCTCTACAGGTTGAACCTGGCTACTGCAGGTTGACTTATGTCGTGCCAGTTTTGGTCAACAAACCAATCAGAGACGTTCTCCCGCCCCTCCCTGTCCTCAACATCGACTGCCTCAGCACTCGCTGTCTGTGCTAACGGCTCAAACTGATACTGCTCTGGACCGCCGTGGTCGTGGTCTACAGGAGACTCTGGAGGGGAAAGTCCTGGACCTCAGACCTCACACCAGCAAGTGTCATTGCTGCTTCTCGAGTCATCACTGATGGCCAAATAACCTAGGTCATCTTCTAATCATTGTGTGTGTGTGAGTGGGCGTGTCTTATCCACCAACTCTGGGATTTAGTTACCCTTTAAATGCATCTTAACAGTTGTATCTGGAATACATTGTCCATCGGCTGAGCTTCTTTCTCTTCTTTGTTTTGTTAACATCGACTCCTTAACGTGCATGATTTCTCCATATCTCTACTGCATTAATCACGTCTGAAGTCATTCCTCTTCTGTTGTGTTTGGACAGAATCACGGTGTGGAGTCTGACAACCTGAAGACTCTGGTGGGGAAGATGAGAGCGGCTCATCACAACCTGAACAGCTCGGTGTCGCAGCGCAGAAAGAACCCCATCTACAACAGCAAGATCTCCCACCAGCCCTCCAACGAGTTCCTGACCGCCGTGATGGAGCTCATCGGAGCCGCCAAGAGTCTGCTGGGCTGGCTGGACAGGTACACAAACTGTCCAACCCAGTTCAATACAACCAATGAGTCTGTAAGGTCAGGGGTCATGAAAAACAAGACGGAGCAATGTACCAGTGAAGAAAAGTGTTTGACGCTTCACTTTCTGAGTCGTCTGAGCCGAGGTCTGTGAGGAGGAAACCACGTAGCACCTTACACACAGTTATTAGCTCCTTGTTAACATGTGTGTGTCAGCTGTCGACTGTTTGAGTCCTTCAGGTTCTCTCTGCTTGTATCAGCATGAAGAACATTCCAGTTCACTGCAGCTGTTTGACACACACACACACACACACACACACACACACACACTGACGAGTTACTGTACTGACGCTAACACACACCTGATCACACTCGTGTTGTAGTCAAGTCCTCACTACCACGGCAACTAAAAGAAGTATCAGGCACCCAGTATTGGGTCATTTCTTGTTTGGATTAACAGAATCTGCAGGGAAATACCTTCCCAATAGGCTGCTCGGTGGTGCAGTGGTTAGCGTTGTCCCCTCACAGCGAGGAGGTTCAAATCCCCGTCTGACAGGAGCCTCTCTGTGAGGAGTCTGTATGTTCTCCTCGTTCATGTGTGGGTTCTCTCCGTCTTCCTCCCACAGTCCAAAGACATGCTCGTTAGGTTACCTGCTGACTCTGAATTGTCCGTAGGTGTGAATGTGAGTGCGGCTGGTTGTCTGTCTCTATATGTCAGCCCTGTGATTGGCTGGTGAACAGCCTATTGCCCAATGACAGCCCACCGCGACCCCGATCTTGAAAAGCGGTTTAGATAACGGATGGATGGATACCTTCCCAATACCGAAACAAAGACAGCGTGTTTGTGCAATCAGTGTTGTTTTAATGCTTCAGTTCTTTCTCTGTGCAGGACGCCTCTGACGAGCGCCAACGACTTCACCTCCACCAAAAGCCGAATCATCCACCTGTGTCTGGAGCTCACCTCCACCGTGCAGAAGGTGAGAGAGACTCAAACAGCCCTCATGACGCTAATCTTTCCTGTTTCAAAAAAAACATGCTCTGGAGGCCCGTGATAAACAGAAGGTCGTGAACTGTAGTCGGACTTTTCATGTTGGACTGATTGTTTTCAGGCTTTGAAGATGAGGACGATAACTTCTGTTTATGTGATCAGAGTCCTTCAGATCGTGACTCTCTGTCAGATCTCTGTCGATGTCCCGGAACAGCAGCCTAACATCTTTGGAGTAGTTTAGAAACGTAAAGGCCTGACCCTCCAGAGAGAGAACTCATGGGACGTCCCGCCCACAGCTGCTTGCAGCACCTTTCATTAACGGGGAGGGTGATGATACAGCAGCAAGCTTTGGGATGAACTCCCCTCACTCCGACAGAAACAGGAACTTTATGTAACCGTGATTAAACCATGACGTTAAGCAGACTCATTAAAGTCACTCCACAGTATGAGAGACACAACAAACTACATATTCCATTTCTTTGCTTTTACACCTTAATGTTTCAGTCTGATGTTTATAAAGGTTTTTTGTTTTTGTAGTCATGAAACACATCTCCGCTAAATCACACTCGATGTTTTCAAGACTAGAAAGACGTTAATTAGATCTTGAATATGACGAAAACATAGATTTTTTTACGTCGACTATTTTTAATCTTATTTCAAGGCGTTTACGTTTGTACAGTTTATTTTATTTGATTATTTTGACATGGGGCAGTGTAACAGATATTTAGCTTTAGCAGAGTTAGCTATGAGCTCATTTACATTTGTGATAATACAGAACTTTTATTTTTGGAGCATCTCCCATGACGAGCAGTGAAAGGTGCTTCACCTGATTAGTAAGTCAGTAACAGTGCAGAGACCCTATTGGACGGTTTAACAACCCACTCCCACTTCACTCTGAGGTTTTGGCTGGCACTCAATGTGGGGGACCCTCAATACGAGCATGCAAACAGAGGGAAGTGTGTAGGGAGAGAGTGTAGGGATTAGTTTGAGAAAGGCCCTAACAGAGAATATTTCCCCGTTCAGGATTAATAAATCGATCTGTTATCAACACATTTATCAAGTATTGATCCTTCTGTATTTGGTAACAAGTTTAAAAGGCAAGTCATGTCCTGGTCCTTTATACAGTTTTGATAATTCAGCGCATCATGTTTAATTCTGCTTTGTGTGTTCATGTTGAAGCATCTTTGACTTAATTCATTGAGAATTATTGGAGCAGGAAAACATCCACTGGTGACTTTTGAGTTATAGTTCTCCTGCAGGTGTCAAGGTGTGCTCTGAAAACATTCATGATTTTGTTCTAATGACATCAAAAAGTCTGATTCATGATTTAAAAAAAAGCCCACTGCAGCTTTAAGGATTCCCAGTTGAAGTGTTAGCTGTGCAGTTGGACGTCTCCTGCAGCGCGCCGTCTCCCTACATGAGAGAGTTAGAGTGAGCGCAGCGTCGAAGGCGTCGTCCTGCTGCGCTGTCATGTAATCATCCTGTCAGCCCGTTTTACAGGGAGCTGTTATTTCTCCCACCGCAGGAGGAATCCTCTCCGTGTCTCTGGGAGGCGTTCGCTGTCCCTCCCTCTGGTTTCACTCTCCTGTAGGCTGTCATTTCTCAAATATTTGCTTTCCCGCTACCACACTCGGAGTTCTTCACGCAGACAGACTGCTGAGAGGGAAACGCTCTCATGAGATAGGATACGTTTAGAACTTCCCCTTCTTTTCAGACAGGACAGCTTGTTTCTGTTTCTTTACTTCTTTATATGGAGGGTCATGTTTCTATTATACTCTGTAATATTTGTCTCCCAGACTAAATGTTTCTCAGTCTATCTTACATCTTCCTGTCACCGTGTGATTATTGGGATATTTGAGTCACAGAGTTTCTGTTTTAGTGCAAAATAAATCAGTGGCATCTTTTTTAAAATAACAATATTTCTACATTTTAGAGACACCAAATGAAAAATGACTTTCCTCTCATTTTATGTTCTGGAAATAAATGACATCAAACCCTTTTTTCCCGCTTTAAACACACAAATATTTCTTAAATATCTGAACTGATAGTAGCGGTTTAAAGTAGGAGAGACTTTGTTTCATGTGCAGAGTTTCTCTTGTCTTGATCAACACACAGATGTTTGCAGATGTCAGACTTTGTGTCTCTTTTAATTGCAGACTGTACTGTTTATGAGATTGAGGAGAAGATTCTGGAAGTGGTGAGTACTGCTTCTCCTTTTTCTTGCATGTTTGGAGACGCACTCACACACACATTTCCCTTTCCTGTCATGTCTCTAAATGTCCCGTGTAGTTCACTGTGTGAATCTGCAGGTTTGTTTATTCAGCTCAGTCAGGACCATCCTCTTCCTGTCTTAGATAAGACTTCTTGTTGGCGGCGGCGGTGTTCCCAGAGACCTGAATCAGCTGATGTTAAATCACTTTCAGTCCTCACATCGGTTTCTAATAAGACATGAAGCTTCATAAATCAGCAGAGAAAACCTCGTATCAGTAAAAACACATCCTGGTCTTATTGAAACTTTTCTGCAAACACAGCGAGGCGGACGGATGAGCCTCCCTCTCCGTGTCCTTAAAGACCCCCCCCCCCCTCCCCCTTCTTCTCTCTTTATTGTTTGTGCTGAATTATCCTCATGTCCATGACGCTCAGGTTTCACTCCTTCATTTCTGTACATGTCCTCTTTAGGGTTTTTTCATACTACACAAAACAAAACAAAAGGACGCACAATGAGCCTTCAGGCTAACTAAACACCTAGCTTGTAGCGAGTATGTGGTTTTGTCAGCTGGATTGTTGTCATCTACCTGCTTCCTCGGCTGGTTAGTCAGAAAGTCAACTTCAGACCCTGCTCACTACCTTTTTTAGCTTTGAGTTAGAAGCTGTGTTTGCGGTTGCTTTTCTGTATTTTTAAGCTACAAGTGGTCGCATCTGTCGAGAGACTTAAAACTAGCTATTGAGATTATTTATCGGGTAGTTTTTTTTTCTATTTTACAGAATTAGACCCTTTTTGAAACCAGAATAGTCGCCCCCTGCTGGCCATTAGAGGGAATGCACCTCAATACTGACTTCACGTTTGAAACTTACATCCACCTCTTGTACACACGTTGGGTTTTGTTGCTTTTGGTCAACAGGAAAACATTATCTTTTCCCTGAGAACAATGACGGGTCCTCTGACATTTTGAGTAAAGAAAGTTCAAGTTCCTGAAACTCCAGGGTATTTCTGGTGTCCCTAACAGTTTTCACTTCCTGTCCTGAAGCTTGTTAATCTCTTCCGTCCTCCTGCCCAACAACACTACAGTTGTCTTTGAGAAGTCGCAGCAGTGACAGATTTATAGGCCTGAGTGCTGTTAGTCACTGAGAGACTGGTCCGGTCTGTTTGTCCAGGTGACAACGAGGGAAACACTGCAGAGAAAGATAAAAGAAGCAGGAGAGCCTGAGAACAGCAACAAACCAACACCGCTGATTTGAAGCTTTAAAGACGTTTAGTTTGTTGTCATGTGACCGAGGGGAAAAAAAACATGCTGCAAAAAAATCATCAAAATTTGCAAAGCAATCAAAAAGGAAACGCAGGGATTATCTTTAAGCAGACGGTTTCTCTTGTTTACTTGTAATTTCCTGCCCGCTCGTCGTGACCTCAGATCCCCTGCTGGGTTTCAGGGTTCAGTGTAATGATAACATGAGGCCGTGGACTGTTTGTGTAGGCCTCCGGCTCCGGGACGATTCTCCTGTTTGTGTTCATCTGAATCAACAGCTTCTCTGCTGCAGCATGTAGAGCTGTTGGACTTCTTGTTTCTTTCCGTCCCGTGATGTCCCATTGGTCGACTTCATGCAGTTTGTTAAATTTATCCTCAAATCCTGAGACCTGGAGGCTTAAATATGAGGAAGCTCGTGACCAAGTTTCTGTGTTTACCTGCTGATAAAACAGACGAGTCTAAACCTGGTATTCTTGATTTACTGTGTCCTCATGCATCAGTGCGTTTCTAATCAGTGCTATAGAAATAGATTTGAATGAATCTGATTAACTGTTAACTGTCTTCTTGTGTGTGTTTCAGTCTCGAGCTCTGAACGGCGTCTGTGAGAAGACGGTGCAGGCGACCTCTGACCCCTCAAAGAGTGACATGTCCTGTCTGGAGGAGGTGCACATCATCAACGTGAAGCCCGGAGAGGGACTGGTGAGCTCAGTAAAATACACTATATGTTACTGCATTAAGAAAAGAATGCAGGGTACACATATAGGACACACGTCACGGTTCACATTCAGAACCGTATCAGCGGGACATCTCGGTCCGATAAGTGCAGAGCACAGTTAAAAAAGAAGAAGCCACAACTCAAGCCGACTTCCCCTCAGAAACACTAACAGGTAGTTTGTGGCTGCACCATGAACCACAATCAGCACCGAGTCTTAAACAGAAACAGATGTAGGTCCAGAGAGAAGAAAAAACCTCCAGAACCACGACTGCAGGAGGAGATTATAGAGAAAGATGTTTTATATAGAAGATATATGTTAACGCTGAGGTTTTTAAATGTGTTCTATTTCACAGGGTATATACATCAAGTCCACCTACGACGGGCTCCACGTCATCACAGGAACAACAGAGAATGTGAGTCTGCGGCTGGTTCTTCACTTCCACATGTTCAGTCCGTCTTGAACACAATTAATCCAGTTTCAATCTCAAATAACACTTTTGGCTTCCTACGATCATGAAAACAAGATAATAAGGATTATGATTTATTCCATTATCAAGTAGCCCCATCACATGTTAATCAACGTTCAGACACGTGTGTGTTGATGCTCCGGTGTGTGTGTGTGTGTGTGTGTGTGTGTGTGTGTGTGTGTGGTCTCCTCAGTCTCCTGCAGATAAAACTCAGAGGATTCATGCTGGAGATGAAGTGGTTCAGGTCAACAGACAGACAGTGGTGAGTTAATGACCACATTTAATCCAGTTGTTATTTATTGTGTGTGATGTCATTTGATGTAGGTGTTGTTTTTCTGTCTTCTTCTTTTATGATTTATTTGTTTGTTGTTGCTGTTATGGTAATATTCTGTAAAGCATTTTGTGGCCTCGCTCTGTGAAAGGTGCCATATCAGACTGACTTATTGTTATTATTAAAAGCGGCAGTAGCTCAGTCTGTAGGGACTTGGGTTGGGAAGCGGAGGGTCGCCGGTTGAAGTCCCATCGCGGATCAAATCTGAAAATTGGAGAGGTGCAAGTTCACTTCCTTCCACTGCAGAGGTGCCCTTGAGCAAGGCACTAAACAGCCCAACAGCTCAGAAGCGCTCGCTGTGGGCAGCCCCCCCTCACTCTGACAAGATCCTGTTTGTGCATGTGTGTGTGTGTGTGTGTGTGTGTGTGTGTGTGTGCATGTTCAACCACTGAGTGTAAAACTGAAGTTTATCTTCTTCTTTGTCTTTTTAGAAAACTGTATTAATCAAAACCCCACTTAAATATGGATGTGTCAACAACAATGCTTCAAGGTTGACCACATTTTCTTTTTAAACCCTCTCATACAAAGAATCACAGTTTCACAGAAATGAGCTGCTGTAGCTTATTTAGCTTTTTAAGCACTTCTGCTTCCTCCCTGCTCTTCGTGGAAATCTGTCAAATGGTTTCTGGTCAGATGCTCCAAATAATCTTTAAGCAGGCCGCAGAGTTTATTAGGTGCTTCCTCAGTTACCGAGTCCTGCTCTGTGATTGGTCAGGTGGGCTGGCAGCTGAAGCACCTGGTGGAGAAGCTGAGGGCCGAGTCTGGAGGCGTGGTCATAGTGGTGAAGAAGAGGCCGTCGGGGATATCTGGTGGCTTCACAGCCGCTCCGCTGAAGAACCTGCGCTGGAGACCGCCCAGCGTACAGGTGAGCGGGCCCAGTTAAACGCTTTTGAACGTGGACTCTGCTGAAGTGCCTTTGAGCTCGGTACAGAAATCCAACACATTATGTTTTTTTGACCAGGCTGTATCATGTTTATTTTCTGCTGTAAAATGCAGATTTTGGCACTTGTGCGTCGCCTTCCCTTTTCAACAGCGGAGGTTGCTGCTTGGTTAAAACGCTCTTCAATGCCACAATTTAAAGGATGATGATTAGGAAAAGGAGTAAAGTAGCAAAAGAGAGAGAGGAGGGTGGTGCCTTTCTTTTCCATCTGGAAAACTGCTTTAAAGGTGGGATTGAGCCTGTCTCAGGACCCCTCCCCTGGGTACACATAAATCCCCCCCCTCCCCCCTGGTGTGTCCTCATTCATCCGTCATCGTAGTTCCAGTGAAGCTGTTTCTGTTTGTGAGCAACCCGAGCAGAAAACACAGCAGCCACCCGGTCTGCTGCTCCTCTGAGGGGTGTGTGTGTGCGAACAATGGATCCCTTCTTTACTTTTCCAGGGGGGTGAAAAACGGACAGGAAACACTCCCAAACTTCAGGCTGTGTTGATGTCAGACATCTTTGGAAGGTGACTCATTTGGTACTCAACAATGAAATCATGATTTCACCAAATCACCTTGAGTGTTGACAGAGAGTCAGGATGTGTGTTAAGGGAAGATAGGTGTCTAAAATTCCTGTGAAGACCTCTGAAGGTGTGTTCAGTCTCTAATCTATCAAAACAGATCTGAAGTCAGTCTGTCTGTACCTCAGCTTCACTCCTTCACTTCAGTTCTCTTAAACTTCTTCAGATGAGTTTTTGTAACACAGCGCTGAAGGGAACACAAAACTTCTGTTTTACCTGCTTAGGATGAAACACCTTGCTGCTGTTTTGATAAACACCATTTCCGTCTCTGTTCTGATTCCTCTTCCTCTCACCCAGATGCCTCAGGGAGTTCCAGGTCTTATCAAATGTCCGCAGCCAGAACCATCAGACGCTCCTGTGAAGAGAGGAAAGACCACTTTGCTGGACTTGTACGTCCCTCCTCCCCCCGCAGCACCGTACAAACCACTGTGAGTACCGTCCTGATTCAGCTCATCACAGATCCTTCCCCACACTTAACCTTCATCCATCGTGAACAGTTCTCCTGTATTCTGTTCCTGAAGAGACGCCAACATGAACGTGTCGCCATGTGTCAAAATGCGACCCAAGTCTCCGAACTCGTGTCTGGACGCAGACACACGGAGACGCTCCAGTGTTACTGACAACAAGAAGACGCCGTCTGTCAGCCCCCCAGCTCAAGTCAACAAAGCGGTCCCCCTCAGACAGCACTCCTCTGCTCGCTGTGAGTGCACAAACACACAAACATTTATACCTATGAGGACCCCCAATAAGATCTTAAAGCGCCTGTGAGGAGATTTAAAATGGTTATGAAACAGACAAACTGATGCCTGGTTATGAGCTACAAAAGCAAACAAGACGTTCAGCAGCTGATTGAAACTGCTGCCATGGGGAAGGTATCAGATAAGACGACTCGCACTTTATGCAGCAAATGTTCACAATCTCACTGTGCAAAGAAATCAAGATCAGATTCTTTAATGTCAGAAAACACAGGACAAGATCAGCCTAGAGAAGCACACACTGCTCTGTCCACAGGGGGCGCCAAAATCAACGCAAACCTGAAAGTTCCTCAGAAAGCCTGGAAGAATTGAAGAATTGATTTGGATTTGAGCTTAAAAAGAATCAAATTTAACATCAGAATACCCCCGTTAAATTCTAAAGATGAGACAGATCAAACTTCAGGGGTCGCTGAGCCTGCTCGAGTTCTTCCTCTTAATGAATCATGATACTGATCTTCATGCTTTGTTGTTGTGTGTGGATGCTTTGCAGGTAAACCCCGACCCGTCTCCATGCCTGTAGAGATTTCAGGAGTGTCCGACTTTTCCTCCAAACCCGGTGTGAAGGGACGTAAAGGTGAGCTCCTCCTGTCAAACAGTGAATGTATTCTAATGTTATCGGTAACGGCCGCCTGTCTGCCTCATTAACATCCTCAGACAAACCGCAGAAAAGGAGGGCCGCGTGCTTTGAATTCTTACCGCGTCGATTATTAACCCCGAGAGCTGCTGCTGCATGGACACAGCTGATTACTTCACCTCGAGGAAAGCACCGTGTCCTCGGCTTAGAAGACAGACTGTTAGAGGAGTTTAACATTAACAAACACACAATAAGAGTTTTACCCTGATGCTTAAAGTGAGAAGGTCAGAATTGGCTTCACATAAACCTGCAGCGTCTTTTACAAGGTTTTAATGAATTTGCACAACCATACTTTTATGTTCTGCGCCGTTTCATTTCTTTCACTTTTTGTAAAAATTGTTTGTCTATCATCAGACAGCCTGTGCTAACAGCATCGACACAAGTGAACGTCAGCGACAAAACCAGCTTGATCTATCGTCTCACGCACCGTTTTAACCCCGACCCCTGTTTCTATCTATTTCTATTTTCCTCTCTGTCGCTCGCGTGTCATGGACGAGGAAGCTGAGAGAGAGAAGGGGATATCCACATCCTTGATTGAAATCGTCTTACCACAGAAGAAAAGCTTAATCCATCTCCCTGCGAGATGTTTATTGACGATTCCTCTGAGAGTGTAGTGATTTGAGTCATCAGCAACAACTCGCTGTTGATGATATATAAATTCAAAATAATGAGAGAAAGTTGAGAAAAGGCACAGAAAACAGTGATAAATAAACTATGCTTAACTTTGACTGAACAAAGTTAAGCATAACTGGAGCTACAGCCCCCTCTAGTGGCAGGCGGCTGCATTACAGCTTAGACGCAACATTAAACCGGCATTGTGGGCGATAACGTACCTTATTAAAAATGTGAATAATTTGTTTAATTGGCTGATAATTCTGGTGTTGAGAAGCGAGAGTCACCTGACTAATGGCTCACATCTCCATTCTCGTACATTACTTTTTCACTCTTTATCGTTCCGCCTTTCGTCCTCTTCAGGTAACAGCGTTCTGCACAGATATCTGAGTAACGAGGGGATCAGCACCATCACGGAGGAGGAGCCGTGTTACCCTCTGCCGTACCGAGGACACCCGTCTGTCCGCGGCGTCGACCACATCAGAGGCAGCCAGTGCTTCGTTAACGCCGACCTGCACAACAGCGCCACCATCCCTTACCAGGAAGCAGCGTCCAAAAAGTCCTCGCCCTCCAGCTCTGCTGCTGTAAACAAACAGTCCACGTCGCTGCTCGGAGGTTTGCTGGCTCGTCTCAGGCTGCTCAGCCACTGACGGAGGCTGATCGTGGTTTCAAATCTCTCATCCGGCTCCATCAGGGGGGAAGGAGTTTTTTTATTCTGAACTTCATGAAGTTGACTGGAAAAAATTTTCTGTGAGTTTAAGGCCTTGAAGAACTAAAGATTTTAGTTTGGCAAATACTTAAAAAAACTGAAAAACTGGAGATCACGGAAAACAACGTCTGGACTGAATCAAAGATCTGATGGTGGAAGATTTTCTACAAAAAAAACTATTCTGTGTCCATATTTACCATGCCAGATTTCTCTTACTCAGGACTTTCTGGGGTTCAGTTATCACCACAAACTTCAAACCAGAAAGTCCACGGTCATCCTTCAAAGTTGAATTTCAATGCAGACCTCTGACAGCTGTTTACTCAAAAGTTAACCCTTTAAAGGTGAATGCTTTAAGGACCAGTGTGTAAAATATAGGGGGTCTATTGGCTGAAATGTAAAATAAGGTTTTAGATCAAGTGTTTTTGACATGAAAATAAGTAATGTTGTGGTTTTGTTACTTTGCTTGATTCTTTTGGGCCACTGTAGAAACATGGTGGATTGCAGAAATGAAGAAATCCTTCCAAACACTGGCTCTAGTGGCGACCTTTAGCTTTACAAGTTTTCAGTCACTGCAGGCCGTCCCACAAACTTGTGAAGGGGAGGGTGTTACCATGTCGTTGCTGACTCTGGATGCTTGAAGTCCCTCTTGCTGCACCTTTAAGCGCCTCATGAAAACCTTCATCCTCTGTGAAGCCTCTGGGATTTCTCTCTCTCAGTGTTTTGAAAAACATTTCTTCCACATGCATCAATCACTGGATTAGAGTTAAAAATATCTTTCAATACTTCTGTCAAAACAAACACACATCTCAAATGTTCAGCCTTAGAGCCTTAAAGACACTGGAGAAGAATTTATCAGCTGAAACCTCGACGTCTTGAACCGACTCTCTCTGGAACATTTGGACTTTTTCTCTTTGCTGCTGAAGAGTACGAGTAGGAAATCCAACAGTCGTTAAATTATTCACTGAAGTATCAATACATCTATAACGGCTCACCAGTGGCTCTCAGCTGGTCGAGCCCCAGAGCCAACCACCCACTCCTCAATGACAACTTTATTTCAACCAATCAGATTTCTTTAATGAAACATGGTGCAGTTTGGACCTCAGACGCTACATTAATCTGACCCATGACCCACTTTTGGATCCAGATCCACCACTTAAGAACCACTTTTCTTATATGTATAAAGTTATTTTTGACGCTTTGCTCAATGGACATTTCAATTACAAAGTTTTAACAAACTTATCCTTTATACAGAAAGATTAACTTGAGGGGGAAAAAAACATCGGATAACATTTAACTTTCAGCTTGTGTTGAGACGAGCATTTGTTTTATTTGTGCTTTAACCATTTTAAGCCTTTTAATCGTTCAAAAAAAGTGTTCAAATAACCATAAATCTCAGCTGAAGGCCGTCTGAATCTGCTGAAAATGAAGCTGGTTTTTGTTTTCGACAAATTTTTTTCTCATTTTTATATAAAAAAAAGACATTAAGCAGAATCAGAATCATTTAAATCCAAACCATCCAAAAACGCTCGACATCAAAATTCAGCATTGAGCAAAAAACTCAAAGCTCAGTGTTTTTGTCATCTGAAAATAATGAAGCGTTTCTAAACTTCACTGCTGCAATGTTTCTCTTAAACTCAGGAGCTCTTAGTGCCTCTCATCTCAAGAATCATTACTAGAGGTTAGTGTGTGTGATTCTTTGTACATATGTTTATAGATTGTTTTTATCACCGCAGACCAAATTATTCATTTATCACAGAAAGGATTTTTCTTTTCAGAGTTCAAAAGCAAATCAAAGCAAATCCGAATACAAGAGGTCAACGTGGTTACTGAGTATTTTTAAACCTTTTGAAGTCTTGATACGACATTATATTATATTAACTTGTTTTTAAAGTGCAGATACTAAATACTCTAAACAAGTAATACATATAATGATACATAATTGTGAGTTTACCAACAAGATTTCATTTGAAAAACAATATAAGAAGACAGTCAAATAAAAATTTGGTGGAAATAAAAAAGGATATTATCCAACTCCACTGGTGGAGAGAACATTTCAGGAATTTTGCTCATATTTTTTCTTTAAAGACTTAGTATGCGACTTCCAGAGCAGCCTTTTAGACCAAAACAAACGCTCTTTGGCCCCTCCTCCTTCATCCCTCAGCTCTCCCTTCCCCTCCTATTTCCACTCTTCCCCCGCCCCTCTCTTCCTGATTTGAAAGCGAGTATCTGAGAGACGGAGAGTAGCAGACAAGTTCTGATAAACATGTGGGCCATAGAAAGGTGTATCTTTGGTGAGGAAAATCTGTTGGTTCTCCTTCAGTTGTACTCTTGCGATGACGTCTCACCATCATGCCCGCTGCCACAGCGTCCCTGAGTTGGCTGTGCAATCTCTCCTCACCCACATGAAGGCAGAAATAATGACCAGAGAGGGAGGGGTTCACAGGAAAACAAAAACCATGTATGCAAAACGTTTAAAACCCCATGCTGTACTTTGAAGGCTTTACCTTAAATATCCTTTGGCAGAGTTGTCCGTTGGAAGCTGCTCAACATTTCAGGTAAATAACTGATCGTAAATATTTCAGGTGTGGCATACTGCACTGTACTTAAAACGCCAGTGGTCCCTCTGAATGTTCTCTGAAGAACGCCTGAGTGTTTGAGGTTTCTTGTTGAACCGTTGTTGAAAAACTCTGTGAAGGAGTTCCTCAGGGAAGCGTTCTGGATCCTCTGATGTTTTGATAATCTTTTCTAAAGAGTGTTTCTGATTCATGTTAGGTGCCTTTATACTAACAGAACATTATGAAGACGCTTTGAAAGCTTGTATGAAAGACTAACAGAGTGTAATGGATACTGTAAATATCACAGAGATGACCTCCTGTATCCTTTGCTGGATTGAATTATGGAAATTGATGAGAGCATTTCTTTTACATTTCAAAAGTTAGATTGTTGTTTACTGAACATGACATTGATATAAGAGTGAGACAGGATTTCTTACCTTTGGATGTTCCTGTTTGTAAAGGTTTTGTTGTTGTTGCCAAATGACATGCATCATATTCTGAGTCTCAGTATTCTGAAGTATTTTATAACAGTCACTGATTTCTATCTTCACATGTGTATATGAATCCAAAGCTATGCAGTAAGATGTCTCTGAGATGCTCTGTAACTTGTACAAAATATAGAAATAAAGTGCAATTTATTTTAAAAGATTTTTATTCCTTTGTTCAGAGACAGGACAGTGGATAGAGTCAGAAATAAGGAGGAGAGAGAGTGGGTAATGACTTGCGGTACGGAGCCACAGGTCAGATTCAAGCCTGGACCGCCTGGTGGATTATAGCCTCCGTACATGGGGCGCACAAACTAACCACGAGGCTACTGTTGCCCTTTTGTTAGGTTTATGCATCTTTATTTTCACCCAGTTAAAATTTTCCAGATTTTGGTTGAAACTGTCTTTAGGTCCTGACAGAAATTAATAACTCATGTGCTCTGAAAAAGGAACGAAGAAAATCTGTCATCTGAAGCAGTTGTAAGCCTGTAAAAACTTCAACCAATGTCTGCCACACAAATGCTGAGCCAACGTTAACTTGATAATTAATTTACATCTGTGATGCCTGACCTCAGGACACAACTAACAAAAAAATCAAGAGCAAAATGACATCATGAGGTCAGTTTCATCTAAACACATGTCAACAACGTTGAATCAAATATGAACACAATCCTTCTACTGCTACATCAATACTTCAGCACATTTTAAACACAATCTGTACCTTAATAATGATAACAAACTCATGCTATAGATTTATACAAGAGTATAAAACAACAGGTAAGAGGAAGTTAAACTGACAGAAGGCTCTTTGAATGAGGAAGGGTTGAAGTCGTTTTTTTCAACGGGCGATGGTCCCCTCTGGTGGTCGGGGAGTGAATTACACAGCCATGGGCTATTTTACCCAAAGGAAGCACAGCATCAAATGTGGTTAAAACGTTTTAACATGTAAAGTCTTTTCTATGCAGGAAGCAGGATGGTTTACTTGTGTGCTTCTGTAAAAAGAGTCTCATATTAGGTCACATTTAATTCAAAAGTTCATGCTTTGTTCAGCTCCATAATAAATCGATGACAGTGACACCTATCATGCAAAAATAATGTTGTCAAATTTAAATAAGCTAACACATAGCGTGTATATAACATCTATTTACATTAATTTTAGTTTCTGACAAGGTGGTCATTTATCCTTAACTGCAGAGAGAAGCCATTATTTTTTACATTTCTGTGCATTTTCTGGTCATTTACATTGAATCTTTGTGTTTAGGCAAATTCTTGTTCGAATGGAAAACTGAGATTTTCAATCCAACAGAGAAGTTCACAGATAGAGAGAGGCTTTCCTTCATGTAGAGGAGAGACTACAAGAACTCATAGAAACTTGAGTTGTTGATCTATGTAGTCTGACAGAGACAGAAGATTTGGTCATTCCTCTGCAGGAGATCTGACGTTTTCATAGTTCACAGCATCATCATCTTCATGGCTTCCATTCACCTGCAAAAAACAACAGACACAATCAACCCAACACTCTGAAAAAGATAATTTTACAATTCCAATTCCTATTCTCACAAGGACTCGACTACTTTGTTGGCCTTTTTATCCACCTCCTAAAATCAGCTGAGCAGCAACCCCGTCTCCACATTACACTTTTTTCTGAATGTCTTTTTGTTTTGTTTTTAGATCACATTCTCTTTGCTCCGTGTCTGATTGGGAAATAAACAATCTGAAATATAAAACATGCAGTAAGCCAGGTGGACACGGGGCCTAACATCACAAACACTGGTTAGAAGAACTCACCATGTTTTCATCCATATGTGTTTGTTTTCCTGAAGAAGAAACAAGAGACAGAGTCGACTTTTGCTGTGTGTTCATAAAAATGTCTTGTTCATGAGTTTAATCTGTGAAGGTTCTCACCTTTCATTTTTGCCCATATGCTGACCGTCACAACAGTTAGTATGAGAGCTGACAAAACCACAGACACAACGATCAACCTCCATTGGGCTGCAAAGAGAACAAAGACAAATTACACTTCTACTGAAGAGAAAATAAATCTGCTACACAATGAAATAAGAAGGTCATTTGTCATGTATGCATGGAGATGTCCTTTTGAATGTGTATCGTCTTTCGCCTGTATTGTGGTAATATGTCTGATTGTTTATTGTATTTCTACTATCTCCTCTTGTCAACATTATGGACAAGTTAGTGACTGTATGGAAAATGTTTCACACATCTGTCTTTGTTGTTAGAAAAAATAAAAAAACTGTATTTATTTTACAGTACTATACTGTTTACTGTGATTCCTTACAGTACTATACTGTTTACTGTGATTCCTTACAGTACTATACTTTTTACTGTGATTCCTTACAGTACTATACTGTTTACTGTGATTCCTTACAGTACTATACTGTTTACTGTGATTCCTTACAGTACTATACTTTTTACCATGATAACTGACTCCAGATTCGGTTGTTGTTTTGTTGTTTTCAGTCGGTCTTGTTGATTTGAATGTTGCTGTTGCCGATTCTGTAGTGACCTCACCTGAACAGATATACACACTTTAATAAACTTTTACATATAAATTATGTTTGAAGATTAAAGTTCAAATAGTTCAAAGTTACTTTATTGAGTAAATATTTCATTTCATTTTTCACAAGCAAAGTGCAGCATTAGTTTCTCAATCATTACAATAAGAGTTATCTAAATTTATTATAATACAGATCTTACCTGGATTCTCATCTGAGGGCTGAAGTTTGAAGGGAAACAGTTGCCCTCTATCACCAACACTACACTCCAGTGACTTATATCTTGCTTTGTAGATTTCATGATAAGTCGGAACGGTCACAGAGGCAGTGCAGGGAGAGTCTGATGTCCTCCCACTTTGATTATGTTCTTCAACATCTACACCATCAAACAGCCACTTCACTGTTTGTCTACACCCGTCAAACGTCGACACAGAGCAGATTAATGTCACCTCATCACCGTTCATCTGCTCAGTCACTGGTGAGGATGGAGATATGAGAGATAACACAATTGAAACCAAACTTCAACAGAGTAATGGTTAATTTAGTCATGTTTCAAATGATTGTTTTAAAAAGAGAGCTGAAAAACTTTTGAATGTAAATACTCACTGGAAATAACAGACAGATACACTGGAGCATCTGGAGCTGCTATTCTGTCTGATTTGTACTGTTGACAGACAAAATAACCAGCATCCTCCTCTGTGACCTTCTTTATAACCAGAGCACAGTTCACTCCCACACTCAGTCTGTCTGATTTAAATCCAGTGTTTTCAGCAATCTGCCCGAGTTTAATCAGCTCTACTGCTGCTTTTGTTGATCTACTGGTCCAGGTCCATGTAGTACTGTCACAGTCACTCTGATCTTCTATCACGTTTCCACAAGCCAATGTGACATCATCTCCAACTCTGACACTGTAGATGGGAGACAGTCCAGTTACTGCTGCAGAGATAAGAGAAAAGATTCAAATATAAAGAGAAATACAAATCTGACTTTTTAATGTCATCATGGGGACAATCTGAGGTTCATGTGGGGAAGAAGTTTACTTTGTTTAAGAGTTCACCAAGCATGATGTTTGCCCCGTTAGAAAGCAAATAGACTTAGAGTCTTTGAAAACGTTGTCTTCTGTTAAAACTGTTCATGTGTTATGTTTCCTTAATTGTAAATTGAAGCATCATTAACAAAACTAAATACATTTTAATTCATCCATTGTCCCTCATCACATGCGTCTTTATTTTCATAAAGAGAAATGTACTTCCTCTATTCTGTAAAGAGTCACTTCCTCTTAGTGACTTCTTAATAAACACATACACAGAGGCGCTGCTTGTCAACGGGCAAGGCAGGCAACTGAAAAACTTCAAACAACAGCAGTCTCATTACCTGCTTAGCATCTCATCACAACTGGGAAAGCCACAGTTTGTCAATGTAAATCACTGAAGGAAAATGAAGAGTATTGATCTGTCTGGAAGTGAAAAACAAAGAGGAAGAGCGTCAGGACATTGGTAGATATAAAAGTGGTTGTAGGGGCCCTCAATTAATTTTCGCCTAGGGCCCTAACCGAGTCTAGAATCACCACTTCACATTCTGGCAGCAAACATCTGCTTTAAATGGTAAATGGACTTGAGCTTGTTTAGTTCTTTTTTAGTCTTCTGACTACTCAACACCGCAGGTCACACCTACACATTCATACACTGATGACAGAGGATGCTGTGTTCGGTGATGTTGCTGCAGGAGCTGGGAATCAAACCCCCAAGCTTCCTGTTGAGAGACGACCAACTCTACAAACTGCGCCACAACCGCCCCAACCTCTTCCTCCTCTTATCAGATCAGAAGTTCTCACACCAAATTCCTAAAATAAAAGTATACTACTGGCATAAATACAGTGAGAAGAAATACAACTTTTATGTAATCAAATAACAGCTAATTTGGTGCAAATGACTTCATGTATTAAGTTAGTAAAGTTCCTTTGACCCCTCCTCCTGACACGTATGCTGCATCGATAAATTACATAAAGTATTTTAAATTATACTGATGAAGATATTCTTTGTTTGTTATATTTGTACGTGATAGTTTTCTTACCTGTCGGCTGATGCACCGCTACAAGAATTAAATGAATTTGAATCCACTTGAACTCGTCCATCGTGATTCTCAGTCTGTCTTCTTCTGTCTTCACGCTCACAACTGTATGAGATCATGAAGTTGTGTTTTTTTTAAGAGATGCTGCATCTACTTATTTTGGTTAGTATGACGTCATTTCCTCAAAGTGGCATAACACTAACACAATCTTCACTTCTTTAACTTCCTCAGTCAACATCTTCCTTCAAGAAGGGAGACGTGAGTTAGCTGAAAAGTCAAACTCCTCACCCAAGAGAATTCAACTCTTGATGTCCGAGATGGGAAAAAACTACGACAGGATGATATGTGATTAGTCTCAGATCTGTTGGTTCCTCATTTTATCTTTAAAGATTTATTTTTGGGCCTTTTTACACCTTTATTGTAGAGATAGGACAGTGGACAGAGTCGGAACCCAGGGACAGAGAGAGGGGAACAACATGTGGGAAAGGAGCCACAGGCCGGACTCGAACCCAGGGCGCCCGCCCGAAAGACCACAGCCCCCACACACGGGGCGCGCGCACCAACCACCGCCCCACCAGCGCCCCTACTCACTCACTGAAGGTTTCACTAATTATAGCCAGATAAAAACACAACACGAGGGTCCCAGGGACAGACATTCAACACAACTTTTAACACTGATCCACTTGTACAGTGTTTCTGAACATATATCTGAGTAACCTGAGAGTCTAGTGACACACAAAATGTGAAATAAACCCATCCAGTCCTTTGTTTGTGGTCTGCATAAGTCTTACAACACAGAGAAAAATGCTCTGTTTCAAATGTGCTCTCCTTGTGATGTCACAGTGGGATTCAGGTAAAAAAAAAAAAAAAAGCACCCTCTCTCCTGTGTTGTCTTTGGCGACCACTTTTTTCCCAGGGGACCGGCTGACGAGTTGTCATGGAAACTGAAAGCTGAACTCGTGTCGGCACACCCCGGGAATAGAGGGGAGAGGTGGGGGCTCCTTGCATTTAAAGAGACACACACACCAAAACAGAGCGTTCTGAGAGAGTTGGTTTTGGATTTGATTTCCATCTTTCTTCTGTTCATTCACTTGTTAAATGATAAAAATAAACTAATACCACTTCTATTTGTGAAAGCAGTCTTACTTTACAACCTGCCTAAAACTTTTGCACAGTACTGTACATGTACATTTTTTCAGCCACCATGTTGTAAGTCAGACGTGTGAAGCTGTTGTTTACTGTGAATCACTTAGAGGCAGCTAAGCTCAGGAAACTCAAACGTCTCTGTAAATCAAACTCCAAATGAAACAAGACTGTTGTCAGATCAAGATGCAGCTGCAGATTCTTCTTTACAGTGAAATTGGAGGAAGTTTAGATGTCGGAGCGTCTCTGAGCAGATGGGTCAAAGAACATGTGAAACAGGAAGGATGGTGTGGGTATTCGTTCGCATGTGCGAGTGTGATTTTGACTCTGTGGTCTGGGGCGATGTATAAACTCACACAGAGATACTCGAGTTCCTCCACTGCTGAGTGAAAAGACAACAGCGCGCCGGACGTTCAGACTGCAGGTAACGAGAAAGGCCTTTTTAAAACTTCTCTTTGTTCATTGTCTTAAAACAACATGTTGCTTTAGTGTGCAGTGCAGGGAGTTTGTAACGCCATTTAAAGGATGAGACCAAAACGTGTAACGTTAATGTTTAGATGTTGGTAGATAGGATCTCTTTTTCTGCTGGCTGCAGGGGAGTTATGTAAGAAAGGACTTTAGAGGATGCAGAACAATTCTCATGTTTTATATTTTGTTTAAGTCGCACTTCAAACTCAGCTGATCTAAATGTTTGTACAGTGCGGAGGGGACAAAAGCAAAGGACATCAGAGTAACAGAGTAAGGCTCATTTTAGTTTTTGGTGGTTTGTTCTGTTTGCTGACTTGCAGGGGCGTGTCTAGACTTCTTTGACTGGGCTGTGCCAAACTGGGGCACTGACTTATGAAGGGGTGGCCTGAAGTGTGACGTGTGCACAAACTCACACAATCAAATATCAATGATTTACGCTTTCTGACCTCACCAATCATACCTTCTTTAAAACACCGATGCAACACTAGCTCAATTTTTTAGTAACACAAAAAGAAGACGCATGTTCAAAGTCAATATTTAACTAACTAAAAAAAACTCCTGCACAGTTTAACCTGCAGCGTTCTGGTCCCAACGCATTACTTTCACATGCACCTGTCTCATTAAATAGATGTGCAAACAGAAAAAGTGTTACTAGCAGCCTAGCCCACAGGTGTATGGAGTGTACCCACACTCGTACATGTCACTGTTTATAACAGAGG